GAGCCTGTTTGAGTTTCATCTTTGCCTTCTTTTTCTGTTTTTTGCTAAGCTTCACTTGAGATTCCGAGGTTGGAGTAAAGCTTTGGATATTCTTCGTTCTGATTGACAGACAGCTCCTCTTGAAAGCGGAGCGGATGCCTTCTACAAAAGATTCGCTTTCCTCATCAGATGTGTCAACTCCCTTAATGGGGTTGTCTTTCCTTCCTGCTGCTAAAATCTTAGCTTTACTTCTAGTAACCATAAGAGAAGGTGAGTAGGTTGCCTTACCCTTAGCTAATTTCGGAAGCTGCAATGACATATTAGAGGAACTCGGAGTTATGATTCTAAAAGGTTCAAGCTTAGAGTCAATAAAAACAGTTTTCTCTCCTTCACAGTGAGTGTAGAGGGCAGGTTCTTCAAATCCTGGGCTTGCATCCTCAAGAGCATTTAGTTTCATCATCCTTGCAGTAGAAGAGCAATTAAATAAATCTATCATCTCGTCTTCATTGTTGAAATTATGAGCCTCCGGGGTTTCCTCAAGGTCCTCACTTGATTCAAGAATCCTGAATGGATTATAGGAAGTGAAAGAAGGAGCTACAGGAGATGGAATGGATTGCCGATCAACATTGATAGCGCCACTCCAAGTTCTGGCAGGTGCTTCACACCCCATGCCTACCTCGGCTCCTTCCCAGTGTTCATTAAGGAGGATATCTGATCGTGTTAAACTTTGATCTAAAGAAGGTCCAGGTACTGCACTCTTGAGAGCCTGAATCCCGAACTCAGAAGCAAGTGATTCGATGTCCATTGCAATCAGACACTTAGAACATGAGTGTTCTTCCAGGTCTAAACTTGGGGCAGATAAAAGCAATGCTAATTCTCTTTCAACAGCTTTGAGCTTCCTGATAGATTCATTTTCCCAACTAAGAAAAGAGTAGGAAGCTGAAACTTCTTGGTGTATTGGTTGCACTACGGGTGGTAGCCAGTCTCCACAACCTATATAAATTCCCAAAATAGTCCTCTGTAATAAGGTATTTTTCCAAATTAGTCCTCAATAAGTTTTAATTACCTACGTGGTCCTCTATAATTGAGATTTATTCCCAAAATAGTCCTTTGTAATAAAGTGTTTTCCCAAATCAGTCCTCAATAAGTTTTAATTACCTACGTGGTCCTCTATAATTGAGATTTATTCCCAAAATAGTCCTTTGTAATAAAGTGTTTTCCCAAATCAGTCCTCAATAAGTTTTAATTACCTATGTGGTCCTCTATAATTGAGATTTATTCCCAAGATGGTCCTTCGTAAATAATGTTACTCAAATGAGGATTAATTGAAGGTATTTTTTCTCTGCTAAATTTAGAATCAATTCTTAAAATAATCATTTATAATGAAGTGCTTTCCCAAAATGGTTTTTCTAATTAAAGATGTGTATTTGATTTGAAATTTAAAAGATTTTTTTTTAAGTTTTATAAATGTATTTGGTTTATCTCTATGTAATAAGATGTTATCCTAAATCAGTTATCAAATGAGGATTAATTGGGAGATATTTTGGTATTTTGATAATCTAAATTTAAAGTATATTCTCGAAACAATCATTTTTGTACAATTAAACATAAAATTTAAAAAATACATTGATTATAAATAATTTATTATTTATTTAAAACTTAAAAAAAATTTTAAATTTCAAATCAAATACACATCTTTAATTAGAAAAACCATTTTGGGAAAGCACTTCATTATAAATAATTATTTTAAGAATTAATTCTAAATTTAGCGGATAAAAAATACCCTCAATTAATCCTCATTTGAGTAATATTATTTACGAAGGACCATTTTGGGAATAAATCTCAATTACAAAGGACCACGTAGATAATTAAAACTTATTGGGGACTGATTTGGGAAAATTCCTTATTATAAAGGACTATTTCGGGAATAAATCTCAATTATAGAGGACCACATAGGTAATTAAAATTTATTGAGGACTAATTTGGGAAAACTCCTTATTACAAAGGACTATTTTGGGAATTTACTCATATATATATATATATATATATATATATATATATATATATATATATATATATAATTCTCTCCCTTCTTATGCCGGCCACACCTCCGGCGGAGCAGCTGGCAGGGCTCCTCCGTCCACCACCAATCTGCACAACCTTCAACAACCTCCTATGCTACAAAAATCATTCCTTCAAGCACTCCGTAATGACTGCCAGGAACAAATTCTCCTTCCCACTGATAATCCTCCTGAAAAATTTAAAGGCCTCCCTTGCGTTGCATTTTCCTCTGAAGAAGTCCAAGCAATGGCACAAAGGTTCTCTCGTGCTCTTGTAGGAACCTTCTTTTATGGTAGACCAAGCCTTCAATTTATCCGCCAGTTTCTGGAAAAAATTGGTTTTAATGAGTTCTCAGTGGTACTCATGGACAACACGCACATCCTCATCAATTTCTCCAGCGACAATGACTTCCATCGTTGTTTCAAAAGACAAGACTGGAAGGTTGGGAACTACCACATGCGCATATCAAAATGGACTCCAGACTTTGATCCAAGGTATGAATCACCTATCCTTCCTATATGGATTTCCATCAAAGACCTCCCTATCCACCTTCACTCCAAATCCTCCCTGATGAGGATTGGTAATCTGTTTGGCAAAGCTCTTAAAATAGATGCTACAACAGAGAACTTTGGTCGCCCTTCCACTGCTAGGGTGTGTGTGGAGGTTGATATTTCAAAGCCCCCTATCACCAAGTTCTATGTCAAAAATGGCCCCAACCCCCTACTCCTCATAGCTATCTTTGAAGAACTTCCAGAATACTGTGGAGAATGCAAGGGAGTTGGGAGGCACAACTCCCAATGCAAGTTCTTCAAACCCCAAACTGAAAACTTGAAAACTCAGGCCAACCAGTCCACTGATGGCCGGAAAATACCCCTGGAAACCTCCATGCAGCAAAAATACAAGCCCATCTCCACTCAGTCAGGCAAACAAACACTCCAAGCCAAAAAACCATCCCTACCCAAGTATAATTCAGGAGGGACCCAAAACCCTCTGCCAAACAATCATCCCACCCCACCACTTAATCCCACAACCAGCAATAATAACACTTCCATTTTAATCCACGACAGTAACACCTCTGCCTCCATCCCTTCTACCTCAAAACCCATTTCAACCCAACCCAATAATTCCCTATCTCCACAGCCCAAAACCTCCCTCACTGAAACACCCAGCCCAATAACCCTCACCCCAAATAATAGCCAACCCACTTCAAAACAATCCACCCCACCCACTGAAATACCTACGCCCAGCCCAATAACCCTCAACAACCAACCCACCTCAAATAATAACCAACCCATCTCAGGCCTAAACATCCTAACACCCATGCCTCTTCTAAAACCTCAACCCTCAACAACTCAACCACCCCCAGAAAACTTCTTGGAGGAAGCTGACTGGGAAATCCTGGTTCACAATGATATTCTTGCCAAATGCTTGGTGAGTTGGGAAGAAAATCAGCAACTCAAACCTACAGCAAATCAACCCCCTACTCCCCCCCACACCTCTTTTGATGACCTGCATTTACACACAGAAAATTTATCTTTAAATCCCATTTACCTCTCAGATACAGAACCTCCACAGAAACATGATCCCCTGAAAAATCTCCCCTCTGCTGAGCTCCACCTTCACCCCTCCACTACTGATTCCTCAGTCAGTAAACAACAAGAAACACCTGAAAACAAAGACTATCAGGTTAGGACAGATGAGGACATCCATGAACAACCATTCACAATAGTAGTAAGGAAATCAAAGAGATTGCAAGAGAAGTTCTCCTCACACAATCAACCTCAACACTTTTCCCAATGAATGTGCTATTCTGGAACATATGTGGTCTACCCTCTAAGCTTCAGAGGCTGGCCATCCTTATTGCCACACACAAAATCTCTTTCCTTGCCATCATGGAACCCAAAACCACTGCTAAGAAACTCACTCATTTCCAACTAACCTTGGGCTTCAGTCACTCTAGGTCTTTTCTGGAAAACAGAGTCTGGGTCATGTGGAAAGATGATAACCTAATCTATCAACATCATCAGGAGATGGATCAGGCTATCAACATATATTTCACTACCCATAACAGCCCCATCACCATCACTACTGTTTATGGGAAATACTCAGTTACAGACAGACAAAGGCTATGGCATGACATCACTTCTACAAGCCTTAGCATGCAGAACCCTTGGGTGATTGGGGGAGACTTCAACTGCATCTCCTCAGTGGACCATCACAAAGGCATTAACAACCCTTGCCTTAGGAGCATCCATGACTTTGACAAATGTATCATGGATGCCTCTCTAATATCACCCATTGCCACTGGCTCTACCTTTACTTGGACAGGTGTAAGGTCCCTAGGTAGAATTTGGAGAAGGATTGATAGGGTTTTTCACAACAACCATACTCTTAATTCTTTCCAGGACATCACCTGCAACCACCTGCCCAGGAATACTTCTGACCATAACCCACTTTTAATCAAGCTCAGCAACCTCCATTTTACTGGCCCCAAACCCTTCAGATATATCAATTGTTGGAGCACTCACAACAGCTTCATGTCTACTGTCAGCAATAACTGGGGCCCCTATGTAGGTGGAGGGATGAGAGGACTGGGTTACAAACTGAAAAACCTAGGACACATCCTCCACTCATGGAACAAGAACACTTTTGGTAACATATTCAACAGGGTCAGTTTTTTGGAAGGAGAACTGAATGTAATTGAAGAACAATTTGACACTGACCCAACCCCAGAAATGAGATCTCTCATGCAGGAAACAAAGGCTAAACTTATTGCTGCTAGCCAACAAGAGTACTCCTACTGGAAACAAAAAGCAAATATCAAATGGACAAAAGAAGGAGATGCTAACACAGCCTTTTTTCACTCCACTGTCAAAATAAGAAGAAGCCAGCAAAAGATAAATAGTCTCAAGACTAAAGAGGGAAAATGGCTTCATAACCAGGATGAGATCCATGAAGAAATCCTCAACTACTACAACACCCTTTTCATGTATAAAGAATCCCACAATGACAGATTCACTGCAAATATTCCTAACCTTATCACTCAGATGGACAACAACAGCCTCACCTCCCTTCCAGATGAAAATGAAGTAAAAGAAGCTGTTTGGTCACTATCAGCAGACAGTGCTGCTGGACCTGATGGGTTTAATGGTCATTTCTATAAAACTTGTTGGGAGCAAATCAAAGTGGACTGCACAAAAGCTGTTTAGGAGTTTTTCTTGGGGATCCCTATCCCCAAAATATGTGCCCAGACAACTATCATCCTAATCCCAAAGAAGGAAAACTCTCAATCCTGTGAGGACTATAGACCTATTTGCTTGTCCAATTTCTGCTACAAGATTTTCTTCAAAATCCTCTCCCAAAGATTGAGCTCTATTCTTCCCAGATTGATCTCACCTGAACAAGGGGGGTTTGTAAAAGGAAGGGTGATCCATGACCAGGTCCTCCTCACACAAGAACTTTTCCATGGCCTTGACCACAAATCTAGGGGGGGTAATCTTGCCATCAAGCTGGACATGTCTAAGGCATTTGATAGAATTTCTTGGAATTTCCTTATCACTTTCCTAGACAAATTTGGTTTCAACAATACCTTCCAGACCCTCATCCAGAACCTACTCCACAGCTCTCACTTCACCATCCTGATCAATGGCCATCACACTAAAGCATTCAAACCTAAAAGAGGATTGAAACAAGGAGACCCTCTCTCCCCTCTACTCTTCATCCTTGCATCTGAAGCCTTCAGCAGAACCATCAAGAAGGAAACTACTTCTGGAGCCCTCTCCCCATACTATCTTGGCAGGCACTACATCTCCATTCCAAAATGAATAATTTTCTTTGGGGCCATGACAAAGACAACAAGAAGTACCACTGGTCCTCTTGGGAGAAGCTATGCCTTCCTAAGGATGAGGGTGGGTTGGGAATCACTGATCTCAACACTCTGCAACTAGCCTATGGTTTCAAAATGTGGTGGACATATACTCAGAACAACTCCCTTTGGGCAAACTTCATGAGGGCTAGATACCCTAGGGGACTCTCCATAGCCCCAAAAATCATTGACTCAGTCTACTGGAAAAGGCTTTATGAGGTCAATAGTATGGCAGATAACCACTTGAGCATTGACACCCAGGGCAGAATTCTATGGTATAATGGAGAGGTTGGTTTCAGCTTAAAGAAGGCAAAGAATTCTTTGAGAGAGAAACAACCCATTCACCCCTTCACCAAACTTTCCTGGAACTCCAAACAAAGCCCTAAACACTCTATCTTCCTTTGGAAACTGTGCTTTGGCTACCTCCCCCTTCCCCACTCACTAACTAGATTGGGATTTCAACTCCCATCTGTTTGTTTCTTGTGCAGGAACAGTGAGGAGACTACCACCCACCTATTCAGGAACTGCCCTTTTAGCAACCAATCTGGAACTACTTTGAACAAATATTTTCATTTTGCAGGAATACCAACCATGGAATCCTAACCTACTTGACAAATTGGTGGAAACAAGGTGCACTGCAAAAGCACAACAAAGCACTCCTCAATATCATTCCAGGAATCATAACCCATGAGATATGGAAAGAAAGAAACAGGAGGATCTACGAGGAAGAAGAACACACCTTGACACAAACAATTACAATCATCACAAAACAGATCTACGAATGGATTTTCATCCACCATAAAGGAAAAACAACGCCGGATATCAGAATTTATGACAGTTTACCTCCAATTAGAATGGGCGCAATCACTGTACATCGATGGGTATTCCCAGCCACTGGAGTAACACTTACAACAGACGCGGCAATCAGGGAGGGAAGATCAGCTGGAGCCAGCATCCTGCGCACAAGGCACGACCAATTTCTCATTGCTTGGACCTATCCTCTACAACCAAACCTCCCACCAGCTGAGACAGAAATGGAGGCAGCATTCGAAGGAGTACGTAGAAGCTTGTTTCTTAACTGCCCGGTCAATCTCTATATTGACTCCAAAATTTGCGCAGACAATTTAACAAACTACTCCAACAATGATTTCTTCACAAGGATGACAAGAGAAATGATAAATCAGTCTGGGGGACGGGTCAATCATATCTTTCGAGAAGCTAATACGGCGGCACATCATCTGGCACAACACGCTTTGCAAGAGAATACCTTTAGTAATTTTCATTCATTAGTTTCACTCCCAAAACGCTCTAGGGGAGCCATTGCATGTGATGTAACAACTTCTTTTATTCGTATGAAATAAAAATTTTCCTTATATATATATATGTGTATATATATATATATATATATATAATTATATATATATATATAAGAGTATTAAAATTAAAACAAGAGAAATGAAAAAAAATGGTCACTAAAAGTAACACCTTTTAACTAGGGTTTTTTCCCCTCATTAAAATGTATAAATAACTCATTTAATGAGAGTATTATCAACCCGTCATAATTGATCCGTAACTAAAAGTCATTTTTCTTGTAGTGATGCATTGGCAGGTGAAAGCCATGGTTTGGTGTTAAGTCTTTGTTGTATCTTAGCTTTGGGTGTTTGAGGAATACAGTGGTTTTAATATTGAGGAGGAGTGATAGTCGATTATCTAAAAAGAGATAATCGATTATTGAAGGGTTCAGTTTCTTAAGGGATTTTGGCGGAGATTTTCTGAAAGGGGTAATAGTCGATTTACAAGGATATGTGAATCGATTATTGATGCCTGCAGATGTTTCACGTGAGTTGATAATCGATTTTACCATATGGATAATCGATTATAGGGCAGTTTCAGGGAACGAAAAGGAGGTATTTTAGTAAAGGGAGATAAACTAAGGAGGTCTAAGAGATATAACACAATCTTATCCTTTCTTGGGGTTGAAATCTAGACTTCAATTAAGATATAACACACTTAATGAAATTCTAGAACCTAACACTCACGCTTAAGGAAACCAACCTTAAAATATAGAAATTAGGAATTTTAAAGCAACACAACAAGTTGTATTATCTTGAAAATGGGATTACAAAAGATGGGATACAAATGAGGCCCTTAGCCGATTTTAATAAAAGCTCAAAAGAGGAAAGAACTAAGCAACTTCCTTAGACAAATATCTAGAATATTATCCAAATAATCAAATCATCTTATGGAATGAAAATCAAGTGTGATAGGTTTCTTGGGTTTGATAATTTTGTTAGAATAATAGACCAACGCTAGAGGGGGGGGTGAATAGCATTTGATCAAGAAATCGCAGGAATAAAAAAAGAATAAACGAGAAGTAAAGAGGCACACCGATTTTACCCTAGTTCACCACAACTTGTGGCTAATCCAGCCTCCCGAGAGACTCTCTCGAGCTACACTACTATCTCGTTAAGCTTAATGGTGCTTAACAACCCGTACAACTTGAGAATTCGAGTCACACGAACCTCAACGAACCTTCGAAGGAAACAGCCCTTCCTTCCAACAACAAGAGAAATACCTTCTCTTGTCAAGTGTCTAAGAACACTAAAAACACTCAAGAACAATACTCTCTTTTAGAGTGGATAATGAGTAAACTAAGAACGCTCAAGAACACAACACAAGCTTCACAAAAATGGCTCTCAAAAGCTATGAATAATTGAAGAATGATTTGCAATGAAAGAGTAGGAGTTGTGAAGTAATGTGATGTGTAAAACAGACCCAAAACACCCCTTTTTATAGTAGAAAAATAGGCTCCAACGGACCAAAGTATTTAAGGGGTGATTTGCACAATTTGTGGGATTTGATAAAATTTGGATCTGCTAAAATTCACCCAGACAGCGCTGTCCTAGATTTGGACATCGCTGTTCTAGGCTTACGTTTTGAAAAATGGGAAGCAACGGTCATGCCAACAGCGATGTCCAAAATCCCTACATCGCTGTTTTGGCTATTGACTTCCAATCAAGGAAAGTTTTAGCCTTAAATTCCTTCCAACGGTCAGGTCTCTACATCGATGTTCCATACTAAAACATCGCTGTTTAGGTCTGCCTTTGAAGATGGAAGTTTTGGCCTGACAGCGCTGTTGCTGGGTCAACATCGCTGTCCAAAAACTTTCTGCCAATGCACTATATTTTTGGCTTAGGTTGGACAGCGCTGTAGGGAAGCCTACATCGCTGTTCCAGAAGTTTCTGGAAATCCAACCTTGGCCAACAGCGATGTCTAATGTCCAACATGGCTGTTGGAAGACTTAACACCAAACCATGTTTTTAGCTACCCAGGTCAGACAGCGATGTTGGTTACCTCAACATCGTTGTTGGGCTGGTTTAGCCAGACCCATGGTTGGTTTAGTCACGCCTTTAGCCGATGTCAAAAACGCAAGTTCTCCAAAATAAAAACCAAGTTTAGAAAACATCTGTTTATTTCATTTTGCTAAGAAATCAAGTAAAACATCTTAAAAACCACGTCATTTAGTTGAAAACCATGGCTAGCCAAGTTCGCGCCGTTTCGCATGGTTTTCACTAAACGGCCAAAAACGGAGGGTGGTTTTTGAGGCGTTTTTGTTGGAGAACTATTTAAATATGCCCAGAAGTAAAAACCAGTAATAAAAGGTTGAAAACCACTTGGTTGGTTTGGACGCCAAAAACCAATGCCGAAAACCGAGAGCCGAACGCCGGTTTCTGAAAACCGAACGCCGGATGGCTTGGTTTTTGGTTTGGGCGAACTCCAAGTGTTTTTAGCCAAGTTTAAACTTAAGAAAAATATTTTTGAATATGCAAAAGAGATTTTTATGAATTGAGCCTAGAGAGCCAAGATTTGGAATTTTGTGCCGGTCTTGATCACATTAAGACCGACTCAATGCAATTCTAATTCTTCGTTCTTGATTCTGGGTCCTTGGTTCTCAAGTCATCATGCCATGTTCCTTCGCCTTAGTTTTGCTCACTTTAGCTTTGATATGTCGCGGCGGTTTGGCATTATCAAACCTGTCATAAAAACGAACACAGTTTAGTACAACGTAGGCGTAAACCCGTGTTCCAACAATTTTTGGCTCTATTGGAAGACAAAAGAAAATGTGAGAATATTATGATTTAGAATGAATAAAATAAAAGGGATTTGGGATGAGATGGGTTCGTCCATATTATGGGATGAAGGGAAGGTTTGATGTGAGAATGATATGGTTTATTGTGTAGGGAAATATATGGCGGTTGGGGGGGGGGGAGTGTATTCGGCCTGGAGGAAGAAAAACAAAGGATGGGAAAATCTCATGTTAGTTTGGTTTTTAATGAAGCAAAATATATGGTGGGTGAGCTCTCAAACCACAACATGTGGTCCCAAATGTTGGCTTGGGGACATGTGGTCCCAAATGTTGGCTTGTCTACAAACTTAGAAAATGGTTGGTTTTTTGGGCTCTTGTGTTCGGCCAGGCTTCAATGAAAAAAGGAAAAGGGTTAAATAATGAAAGGAAGATATTTTGGATATTTATGAATGTTGAGAATGTGTGGGTCCATGGTGGGTGTAAGGTGGTTCGGCCAAAACAAAGGAAAGAAAGGGGAAAGGTTTGTGATGGGTTTTAAGGGGTTGGGTTTCGGATTTCATGGGCCTAAACATATCAAGGTTGGGTTGTATGGTTTTGGGGTGAGAAATTCATTCCAAAAAGGATTGTGACATTTGGACATTAATCCATTTATTTGTTTAAGTTCTTGAGAATTAGTTGACGTAACCGGGGATACAACATCCTCCCCTTCTTCGGAAGAGTTTGCCCTCAAACTCGGAAGTTCTTCAGGCTCAAAGTACGGGCTAAGATCTTTAACGTTGAAGGTTACTGAAACACCGTAGTCTCCTGGGAGATTGATCTTGTAAGCGTTCTCATTAACCTTTTCAATGACTTCGAATGGACCGTCGGCTCATGGTAATAGCTTTGATTTACGCTTCGTAGGGAAACGTTCCTTCCGAAGATGTATCCATACTAAATCACCGGGTTGAAAAGACATGCTCTTTCTCCTTTTGTTGATGTATTCGCTCACTCATTCATTCATTACTTCTATCTTTTGTCGAACCTTTAGATGGAGATCTTGAATGTGCTTTGATCTTTGCTCCGCTGCCCAGCTATACCCTGTACCTGTCATGATAGGGTCAAGCTCAAGAGGGGTTAGGGGGTTCGAACCATAGACCACCATGAAGGGTGATAAACCGGTAACTCTGCTCGGGGTTTGGTTATATGCAAACTTGGCGTGAGGCAAGAGTTCTTCCCACTGCTTGATGTTCCTTTTGATCAAAACTCGGAGGAGTGTTCCGAGTGTTCTGTACGTAACCTCGGTTTGGCCATCGGATTGTGGGTGGCTTGATGTGCTAAAATTGAGTTTAGTTCCTAGCTTTCTCCACAATGTTAGCCAAAAATGGCTAAGGAATTTTGAATCTCTATCGGAGACCATGCTTCTAGGGATCCCGTGTAGTCTGACTATTTCGCGAAAGTAGAGATCCGCGACTTGTGATGCATCATACGTGGTGAGACAAGGAACAAAATGGGCCATTTTGGAGAAACGATCCACGACCACCATGATGGAATCTTTGTTCTTTTGTGTCCTAGGCAGCTCGGTAATGAAGTCCAGGCTAATGTCTTCCCATGGAGCATTCGATACGGGCAATGGCATATGTACTCCTTGTGGCAAGATATGTGCTTTGGCGAGGTGGAAAGTGGAACACCTTTTGACAAAGTGTTCAACGTCTCTTTCCATTTTGGGCTAGAAGTAATGCTCCTTTATCATGAAGTATGTTTTGTTGATATCGAAATGACATGCCAATCCGCCTCGATGTATTTCATCAATGATGGTTTCTCGAACGCTACTTCGGGGAATGCACAATTGGTTTCCGTGGAAGAGATAACCGTCTTTGAGGAGGTAATCTCCATAAGGCTGAACTAGGCATTGTGCGTACGCCTCCTTGAAATCTTCGTCTTCCTTATAAAGCTCCTGCAAACAATCAAAACCAAGAAGTTTGGTACTAAGTACCGTTAGTAATAAATGCCTCCGCGACAATGCATCGGCGCCTTTGTTGAGGCTCCCATTCTTGTGTTTGATGGTAAAGGTGAACGTTTGAAGATATTCAACCCATTTGGCATGGCGGGGTCGAAGCTTATGTTGCCCTTGTATGTACTTCAATGCCTCGTGATCGGAGTGAAGAATGAACTCCTTGCTCACGAGATAGTGCCTCCAGTGCTCCAAGGATCTCACCAAGGCGTAAAACTCCTTGTCATAAGTAGAATATCTTCTCCTCGTCTCATTCAGCTTCTCACTAAAGTATGAGATCGGGTGGCCTTTTATTCTAATATTTATTAGTTGTGTACAAAAAACATTTTCTTCTACGGCTCTTGTTCTTCTCTTACGCGTGTTACTGATAAACTTAGAATCCTTACGTGAATGGAATCAATTTTTTAAGAAGTCTAATTTTACAGTCTAATTTTTTTCTGAATCAATTTTTTTCTGAATTGAAAATTAATATTTTATGGTGTGGTATCTTATTCAGTTCAATCTTTTCAACATTAAATTTACTTTGCATTTGTGTACATTCTGGTTACACATTATGGGATTCAATGTAAAACTAAGGACTTCGGGTTTACGCTTAAAATGCATGATATACACCATTGATATGCATTACAGAGAATATAAGATGCATTTTAACTTTAGATAATGAATCATGATACTTTGCGCTTTAAAAATCAAAATTAATAGAATAAAATTTGAATAAAATTAAAGGACAAACCAAAGTGCATATATCGACCATCAAAGTTCATTCGTGTTAGATTATGGATTAATTATATTCAATATTGATTTCGTTGGGTAGATCTCAACGAAAGATTTCCTACGATATATTATTTGTCAAAAAACGAACTTGTGCACAAAAAATTTTATACTCCCTCCGTCTAAAAAAGAATTTCTTATTTTGATTAACGTGTAAAATCCCGTGGATTTTAAAATGCTTTTATTTGTAAACTGGTAAGGAAATAACACCTAAAAAATTATATTTAAAAACTACATCGAAAAGTCTATAAAATAAGAGGTGACAAGAATATTTTATTGAATAATGCTAGGGGTACACCTTTTGGAGGAAAAGAGGGTGGTGTACATTTGGGGTACACCTTTTGGTGTACCCCAAATGTACACCACCCTATTTTCCTCCACACATTTTTATTTGATTTTTATTTATTTATTTTTTTGAATTTTTTTGCATTTTTTAGTGGACAAGGAGGGGGTGGGGGATATTTGGGGTACACCTTTAGTGTACCCCTAGCATTTTTCTATTAGTAAACAAGAAAAACTTTTTTAGACGGAGGGAGTATAAAATATAATGCACAATACAAGATTAAATGATATGAAATTAATAATATAATATAATACTCCGCTTGTTACGTGTTTAGGTATTAAAAAGGGAAGAACGACATTGTGGGTATTTCCCAAATTTATTATGCATTTCAAATTACGAATTTACCCCTACTAACCAATTTAATCCTAATTAAATGCATTGCAATTATTACTTCCCCAATATATAACACACGCAAGGTTAATTCTAAGGCTCAGATTTATTCTTATTTCTTTCACCAAGGTTAATTCTCACAGGAATTAGCCCATATATATATATGTGTGTGTGTGTGTGTGTGTGGTTCCCCCTGTAGAGATGGTCACAGGGTTGATTGGTGAACCACACCACTCGAGTTCGATCCTCAGAAGGAACAACTTTGGGGGAATTTTAAGGGAGTTAAGCGTGCTGGCCATGGAGTAGCAGAAATGATGGGTGACCCCCTGGGAAGTGTTTGCAGATTTATGGGGTTGGGCTTTAGATTGTGCTTCTTATAGTGGGCTATCTGCCTCGGGTGTTTAACGGCCCCCGGGGCGGTCACGAGGTTAACGGGCCTCGGGCCCCCTGCTTGTAACCGACCGTTCCAATAATATTAATAAAAAAAAAATTTTAAAAAATTACGCATTTAGCACTACTTATTCTTTTAAACAAATCTAGCACTTTTTTGTGTCAATCCATTACTATCATGCCCTTTTAACCTTTTTCCTTAAAAAATTACGCCACTCCCTCTCGCGCACGTACTCTTCATCGGCGCACCTACTCTGTTCTTCATCCCCCCGATCATGCATCCTCAGGCCTTCTCCCCCGATTCCTGCCCCGATCAGCAGCGGCAATCATCAGGTTATCTCGGATTCCTTCACCGATGTGGCTAATCATTTTCTCTTCTCCTTCAATTTTTAATTTTCATATTTTCATTCCTTCACCCCTTTATTCGGATTTCCATGTATTTTTAGTTTTAATTATTGTGTTTTCTTCGTACTAAAGATTAGGTGTTGTGAAATTAATTTTGAAATACCTAGTATTTGTCCCTTTTGAAAAATTAGGTCTCTTGAAAGACATTGTGTTTTTGGCAGTGTGATTTTGGCACTATCAAGATTAGGTGCTATGGTGTGGGCAGTGTGAAGATTAAATGCCTAAATGTTGTCCTGCATTTTTTTTATTTATTTTCTATTTTTCTTCGTAGAGAATGTTTAACATAGTGGCATATGTAAATTAGGCAGTGTATTTGAAATAATCAAGTTGTGGCAGTGTACCTTAAACTTTGGCTTAAATTAGGCATTGCAGTGTGATCAGCATATACGATAGTTTCTAAGCAATGGTTTTGTGAACTTTTGGTATGATTAAGCTTCTTGATGATGATTGGAAACCATTGCTTAGAAATTTTTTCTTACCACTTGTATTAACTAGTTATCCTATTGCTTTTTCACCTAAAAATGTAAAATAAGAAACACGTTTTTGTTCTCTTATATGGTATTTATAGTTTTAATTAATAGTTTAAGCTAAACTTTGTACTATCATCACTTTTGGGACAAGCACCTAACCTTTTTTAATCATTCCTGTTGCCTTCATTTTCTGTTTTATAGGTTTGACTCAATCCATACTTGCCCTGTTGATTTTCGAGAAGGCGATCACAGACAGGCAACATCATCATAAATCTTCCTGGAGTGTTCCGCCGGATGTTGCATCAGTGATTTGCAAACCTCCATCTTGTAACAAGCGTCCCCCGGGTAGACCAAAGAAGAGGAGACTTCCATCTGTCGGTGAATTTCAAATAGGCCATAGGCATAGAAAGCAACGATGCACACGGTGTTTGAATTTGGGGCATAACGTAAAAACATGCAAAAACCCAATACCAAATTGACACTGCATTCTTTCATATTCTGTATAATATACAATTCTCAACAATTTCATTCATCCATTTTTGACGTTGTTTAGACACATTCTTTGTTTTTTCCCTATTTTAATAGTTGTACTTCTTATACTATAACTTGATTTTTTTAGTAATATATAATACTTTGTCCACTTGCACCATTGAATTACAAAAAGTGAATAGGGTATAAGTTGCATTCTTTTACTTCTTATTAAATTCCTTGTGAAATGTGAAAGTGTATTACGGCAGTGAATTTTTGGCAGTGAATATATATATTGTCCTAGTGTAGATATATTGTGGCAGTGTATATATTCTGGAAGTGTATTTCAAACAGTGAGTTATTGACATTGTGTATATTTTGTGGCAGTGTAAATATTGTTGCAGTGTATTCTATACATTGATTTGTTGGAAGTACATATTCTGGCATTGTAGAGATTACATATTTCAGTGTATAATTACCGTAAAAAAAATCCCACGAAATAAAATAAATTCTGCTCTTTTTTTCAGAAGACTCGTATATGGTAGGGCACTAAATTCAATCTCAAACATATTGCGGCAAGGAAGAGCATAGAATTTCTTACTTATTTATAATGTGCGGCCGTGTATATTGAACTTTATCAAACAAAGTGTGCAGTGACTGCGTAAAAAATTTGGAAGTGTGGAATGGTCATGGCAGTGTGACATAAAAAAATCTCCAGCAATCCATTTCTCAAATCACTAATTAATTAAATGCCCATAAATTATTACTAAAACAAATCAAAATATCATTTATACCACAAAAAAACTAAAACAAACTCCAAACAGCTGAGATACGAACATTAAAATATCCAATCTATCAAGAAAAAAGTCTATTGCTTTCTGGATTCTTCCTTCCTCTCATAGCTATAAGCTAAAAGTTCTGTTGTCATTTTAACCCCGTAACCTTCCATGTCACATTACTGCACTTCATTTATGCTTAAATCCATCATTAGAAACTCTGCGAATTTCACTACGAACATACCACAATTACACTTGCATTTGTCTAAAAAATTCAAAGTCAGTAAACATTTTGTACTGCCTACATTTTCAACACATGTAAGGTCACTCTCACAAAATCATAATAGTTAACTACCACATACCCGTCTCTTTGTTGAGGACACCCATCAATTATATCAATTGAGAGCTTTTAATCTCCCATTGGCCCATCCGAGTGATTTTCATACACATTCAACATGTCAAGAAGCTTGGGTAACAATGATGATATACACGCCATGTATGGAAAGATTTCCCTACTGGTCTGCCCTTTCTTTCCTTTAGAATTATAAACCCTTATCTTCCTTCCTTCAACTTCGAGCACAAGTATCATCCAGTGGTTCCCAGTGTTCAAAGACATATATACAAAATCACATTCACACCAAGGCTTCGCATATTCTCGCGCTAATCCTAATACCTCACTTGATAAACTTGAATTCTCAATCACAACCTCCATTTTCACCTTTCCGACGTCTACCATCTCCTGGTGCGTCTTGAGTCCTTGCGTGCAAAAAATATGGTGACGCTGCTGTGTATGTCTGGATCAAGTTGTATTGAATGCTCTTCAATTCAAGATAGAACATCGCAATCTCTATATGCTGAAATAAAAAAAAAACAAACCCCAATTATGGTATTACATAACACATATTGTATGCTCCTACAAGCGCAATCATCACTGCTTAATAAAAACCTAACCAAAAGAACACACTGCTATGTTAAAACAACACATCCCAAAAACCTTATGCATTATGCAGTATACACTGCCATGTAACAAAAAACCAGCTTAAATAAAGAGAAACACACTGCCGAAAAACCAAAGTCTTAAGGCAGTATACCACGTCTTGTAAAACCAGCACTGCCCAAAACCTTATGGATCATCATGTTAAAAAAACTATCCAAAACAAAGATAAACACACTGCCAAAATGCATATTCATTAGGCAGTGTATTTGAACTGTAAAAACAACACTGACCAAAAACCATTTCAAATAGGCAGTCTATCCTCCATTCAAAAAACTGCCCAAAATAAGGGAAAAACACTACATTCACACAGCCCACACCTCCCCAAAAAAACCCCACGCAATTCCAAACTTGAATCTCATACAAATCACTCCAATGACAATACCAAGTCATAAGACCCGACATATTTTGTTCTCCAAATTCGCACCCCATTAAACCTAAATTCACTACAGCTACACACTGCTACAAATATATTCACATGCCGGAAAAAAAAAACTTATTCTAAACTGTGTAAGAGAAATTTTATTAGAAGCAAATTCAATGCCAAAACGAAGCAAAAACATATTCTAAACCATGAATTACGTCTACCACTCACAAAAAAACCTAAACGAGTTCAACAAAGCCCAAAAAAATTCAATACGTTAATCAAAAAAACACTGCAAAGCTTAAAAATTAAAACACACTGCATAGAACCTAAGGGAACCCATTGCAGTGAAAATAAAATGCCAAAACGTACTGCCAAAACGTACTGCAGTGCAAAATTAACGTACTAAAGAAAATTTAAAAACACGTTGCAGTGAACCTTCAACAAAAACCCTCATGCCAACCGGAAAAAACAACTTATCCTAAAGTTTGTAAGAGAAATTCTTTTAGAAGAAAATTCAATGCCAAAACGAAGCATACCTGTATCTTCTCCAATCTCTTGCTTAGAGGGATCTCGTCCAATGCATCTTCGCTTGCCATTGAAACCCTGGGTCTCCTTCCGGACGCTGCTGCGTTCGGCTTTGCGTTCGGCAGTGTGACGAGGAAGCTGCCCGACGATTATCGCGTCGCGTGAGTGGGAAGATCGGCTGCTGCCCGTAAAGCTTTTTTTAAACCTAATTAGGAGAATTTAGTATTAGGTGTTTATTTAAGGACAAAAAAGGGAATTTATATCCAAAACTAATAACACTGCTATTTTGAGTATTAAAGTACTATTAAAGTGCTATTTTCGTATTTCTCCCATATATATATATATATATATATATATATATATATATATATATTAAAGAAAGTTTATTAAAAAAAAAGAGTAAAAGGTACAAGGGGGGCCAACTCGAAAACAGGCCAAATGGAAATCCAAACCAACAAAAGAAATACAAGAAGAAGTTGCCAAGCAACTAAATTTAAAAGGAGAAGCTGACAGAAAAAGTAAAGTAAAAGAGGAGCTGGAGATGAAACCGCAAGACCTACTGCATCCATATCAGTAACCCATCTTTATCCATTGCTGGGTCTCCTGTAGTTCATCTACCCAAGGATCACAATCAGGTTCACCGTCCATTTTCCATCCATTACAGCCTAACAAGGAAAAGTTTGAAAACCAAGCTGTCTAAGTTGGGCCCTACTTGTACTGATGAAGAACCATGCTGCTCCAATCCTAAAACCAGTCTCCAAACCACAACCCTTAGGCAAACTCTAAAGTAGAAGTCCTAATCTTCAAATAAACCTTGAAAACGCATTTCTCTAAGCCCTTGGACTGGACCAAGATTAATCCAGCTTCAATTGGCCCTCCCTTGAGATACTTAAGACAACAAGCACTAAATGAAACTAAATCAAATACCAAGGACTTCTTGTTTTGATTTCCTGGAAGCATTAAAAAAAAGATTAAGCGTTAAGGAATGTAGCTTGTGACTCTTCAGCCTGTTCCCCTGTTAGAAACTCCGCCACAAGGCTTTCATCAGCTTTCGAACAAGAAATGTACGCTGGGTATTTAGAATCTTCAAATTGAACAAGGGTCACTTTTTCCATGCTTTTCACCATCTCTCGTGTTGCTCTTAGTGTCTTACCCGACATGTTTTGAAGAAGTCCCATTTTTCAGTTTATCCAGTAGTGTTGTCCTCGCCAAAGCCTCAAGAACCTGTCTTTCCACTGCCCTGAAGATTGTTTCAAAGTAGGCATCAAAAGCTGGTTGAAACAACATTTGGATCTTTTTTTCTTCATCTTCAGCTTCCTTAGTCTCTTCTAACCCAACATTTAACCCATTTTCTGTGAGGCTAGGCATTATAGAACCATGTGTAACATCTTGTTCCAGTAGCTTTGAGGATATGGAAGAAAACCCCAAATGTTCTTCCTCTATGCTCTCCACCCGAATTATCTGGTCTGTCAGCTCTAGAGAAGCTGAAGCTTCGGCTCTCCAGGGAGAAACGAGTAACTTTTCAGCATAAACAATCCCTTCTTGAGGTTTTAAGGCTTCATTCAATGCTTTTACAAAAAGCCTAATTCCTTCTGATTTCCTTCCTACTGGGATGCAAATAGTAGACATCTCCCTTTCGGTTCCTGCGCTGATTCTTACGAAACATCCAAATTGGTTTGAATCCCAGTGGTACTTTGCTGTTACAATCCCTTCAAATTTTGTAATCACCCATCCCTCTCTAGCCAAAGGTGGGTGGCTTAGGGATTCGGATAGCCAATGAGCAATAGGTCGAGAGATAGAAAGAAATCTACACATACCATTCTTGGATTCAGAAATTAAAAGAGTTTCTGAGACCTGGAACTTGAATACCTTGCTTTCAATCGATATTGAGACGCTGGATTCGCTTTTAAATGGCCCTCGGTAACGATATGGTCTATCTCCAACCCCGTATCTGGACAGCCATCTTCTTCGGATGTTATTAGAAACATCTCTCCACCCCGGCGTTTGTGTTCTTCTCCCTTGGAAAATCCAATTCTGATGAGGCGTTTTCTGGTACCCATCGTCTCTGAAGTGTTCGGCGTTGTCAGCGTTGCACCGCCGGTGGAATCTCCCCCTTCTCTCTAGAAAACCCATCATATATATATATATATATATATATATATATATATATATATATATATATATATATATATATATATATATATATATATATATATATATATATATATATATATATATATATATATATATATATATATATATATAGGGGCCGGTTCCCGTCAGAATGCACCTTGTGGAGAGAAATGAGAATAAAATCTAACCGTCAGATCTGATGCATCGTGCGGCTCAGATTGCATCCTGCGCTCAGATTTTGAGATAGTGCATTTTTGAAGGTTTATGGTGCATTTTGACGTGATGCATTTTCGCACCATTTTGGTGCATCTAATTTTGATGAAATCTTGACCCTTAGATCTCAAAATCTAAAGCACCAGATTCATTCTCATTTCTCTCCTAAGAT